TTTTTTTTTTTATTTCTTTCTATTTCAAATATCTTTGAAAAAAATCGATTTATAAAAACCGAATCATGACAATGGTAATTTTTCTTAGCAATGATTTACGAGTCGTTAATGCATTTGCAAAAATATCCGAAATCGCGTACGCCTCATTTTAAATAGAAATATCGATAGTGGATGGAGATTTATTCCTTCCCATGAATATTTTCAAAGCGCGTACACTTTTTAGATAGTCCAAAGAAACGTGCAAATTTATACGTATACGTTCATATTTCGCGCATCGATGGGCGAGCAATTGCGTCACGGAGGAACAATAAATTTTTCAAATTTATTACAGTGTCATTTTACGGAGCGAGCTACATTCATCTTCCGGTGCAAGAAGCTAAGGGTGCGACTGACATCAGCTTCCGGTTCCGAACTCATCTCGCGGACGCTATGCTGCTATTGGCCGTTGGCAGGACGGATTACTGCCTGATCAAACTCGAAACCGGCAAATTGAAGGTTCGTTTGCCCTCAATGCTTACTTCTATTAATAGGCTTTCTGTTTGGGTCTTCGTGGCCGCTGGTCGTTAACCAACCGCACGTGCTATAGTCCGACGCGACAGTCAGCACAACCCCTCTCTCTCTCTCTCTCTCTCTCATCCTAATTCTCTTTTTCATCTCCTCATCCACGAGCAATCTTTCTACAGTACGAGCTATCCTTGCTAAGAAATTAGGCTTGGTTCGAAACATTAAGAGAAAAAAAGAAACTCGAGAGAGGGGAAAAAAGGAGGAGAGAAAAGCGAGACGAGTTGGAGAGCACGCGAGCATGGATGATATAAAAAAGAGGGAAAAAATAGAAAAGAAAGAGAAATGATTTTCAGACACGCGGCTAACGACCACGTTCTCCACAGCTCGATTTTATAACTTCGATAAAAACCGTGTCGTGATTTTAACAACATCACGTCGTTGCCCCGCTTTATTCGAGCCATTAAAACTCTGCAAGTAAAAACATCTTATTTATGTATGCGGATGCTCGCGAGAAATGGTAAAACAAGATAGATCGACACGTTTCACCGAATATACATAATAAAATTTATAGAGAAAAAGGAAAAGAAGCGATGAATTTTTTTTTTATTCACTTTTCCCTTTCATGCGCACACACTTTCTCTCCTTCTCTCTATTTCTCCGTGTCTCTTTCTTTTCAACTAAATAAAAAACGTTTGTAAATTTCATTCGAGCAAAGTTAACGCTTCCCTTTGATTTCGTTTAAAACCATTTCCGTTTTAAATTCTATCTAAATCAACGATCCAGCCATCAAAGAGAAACCAATAATAATAAGTTTCGATGTAAACTTTCACGTAAAATACGGTTACGATTCCACTTTATTTTATTATTTTTAATAATCCTTCGAGTAACAATTGCGTGGAAACGATCGTTACGTATAGACGTAGGAATAAATATAACGCATTCCTATCTATCGATCGACCTTTTACAGGGGGAACAATTTTTGTTACATGTTTGAAAAATACAATACTCGATGCTCGGACTTTTTAATTGAATTAAATATGACACGTTCAAATTTAATTTTTGTACACGAGCCCCGATATGAAATAAAACTTTATAATTTATTTCAAAGTAACGTTGGCTGTAAATTGCCGTGAAAAATTCTATTTGCGAATAAACATGAAAACTGTTCATGCATAATTGTCGCCAATGCGTGATCGAATTTAAATTTTTAAAATAGTCGCTCTCTGCATTCGTGTAAAAAATTCAAATACTGATTCGAATACTTTTCTCTGTAAAAATCGAATAATCGTTACGTTTTACAACTTTTTATTCACGCGCAAGCTTTTCCTAAAGCTTCCCCTTTTGTTAAATCCAAATTATTTATCGTAATTTATCGTTTCGTCGATTGTCCGAAGGAACAAAAAACCTTTAATACTTTTATCCGAATTAAGGCCAGGTATATACAAGCGTCATCCTTGTAATTCTATTGTTGTGACAGGTCTTTGTTTATAATGACACAACGTGTACGATCTTGCGATTTCGCTATGAAAACTATGCTACAAAGGTTTTAAACCGACATCCACAATGGAAAGATGCAAATCCACAAACGAAAGATGCAAATCCACGCGTTGTATCTATATCAGTATGTTCCAACTTCCTTTTGCGATATTTAAATAATTAATGTTCCACGTATTCGTTAAGTAACGAAAAAAATTAACAGGATTTTATCGCAAAAAGCAGAAACGACTAGCTGCCTTTTGAGTTAAGTTAGCGCTCTGATTCCCGTAAAATACGAATTACGAATGAATTAAAATAAATAAATATTAAAATTCGTTAACCAAAAGTGACAACAGCAACAACGTCCGTCCACAATTCGGATCTACCGATCTATATTAAAGCTAGTTGCAAACGATCAACGCGACACACGGTTTCGATCATCGCACGTACGTTTTGGATCGTTATAAAACATAGAAACGCGAATCTGTCGAACTTCACAACGTCACTAGAGCAGAATCGCAACAATGTCATCTGCACCTGATCCGAAGTCAATTCCAACCGCGATTTTAATTC